AGAGAGAGAGAGAGAGAGAGAGAGAGAGAGAGAGAGAGAGCGAGAAGAGAAGTAGAGGGAGAGAGATAAAGATAAAGAGAGTAAGAGAAGAGAGAGAAAGAGAGAGAGAGAGAGAGAGATAGAGAGAGGAGTCACAAAGCATGCATACTCACAGGGTTTGACAACAGTGTGGCCCTGTGTTCGTTGTAGACACGCAGTCGTTGTTGTTGACGTTGGGAGGCAGTATAAAAACTGTTTGTTGTGCTTTATGGATCATGTAACCACGCAGCCAGCAATAAGCTGCCTATCGTTGCCTTCGACACACGGATGCAGCTGTGTGGAGTATAAAGTATTTCCTCGCCCATACCCCAACCCAGTCTCTCTCTCTCGCGTTCCCACGCGCTCTTCCTTCCCCCTTCTCTCTTTCTCTTTCACTTTTCCTCCTTTCTCTCGTGCGCTCCGTTGCGCTCTCTTCCTCTCGCTCACTTTCTTCCTCTCTCTTCGCATTCCCCTGCTATTTCTCTCACACTCTCTTTCGGACGCTCTCTCTTTTGCTCTCTCGCTCTTCCTTGCGTTCTCACGTATTCTCACCCGCTCTCTCTCCCTGTCAGCATATCTCCCTCTTTCCTGCTCTCTCTCTCACTCTCTCCCCCTTATCTCTCTCCCCCGCTCGCTTTCTCCCCCTCATCTCTCTCATTTTCGATAGCTCTCTCTTATCCCTCTCGGCCTACCCACGCGTGCGGCTTGTTGTATAACTCGGGTCCTTGAAAATCCTTCATTGAGGAGGACACACAACAAACACGAGATGGCCAACGTTACGTAATGACCGTGACAGCTGCGATGCGCTGAAAGAAGCATAGACTGTCTGTGAATCTGGCCCAGCGCTCGTAACAGTAAAATAAGCGGGACAATTTATTATTATTATTATTATTATTATTATTAATTTTGTAATATCCGCGAGAGCAGAGTTTTAATTAAAATTAATCAATCAGTCAGTATGCCAAATGTAGGAAAAGACGAGGAGAAGGAGAAGGAGGAGGTGAAGAAGGAGGAGGAGAGGAGGAGGAGAGGAGGAGGAGGAAGAAGTAGGAGGAGGAGGAGGAGGAGGCGAGGAGGAGGAGGAAGAGGAGGAGGATAAGGAGGAGGAGCAGGGGGAGGAGCAGGGGGAGGATCAGACAGAGGTGAAGGATAAGGGGGAGAATGAGGTGGTGGTGGAGGAGGAGGAGGAGGATGAGGATATCGCACCTCTGTGTCCGTCTGCCATCACTATTGCTTATGAGAATGTGCGGAGCATTAACTCTGCATAAATAAACAGCTCACAGCATCTGCTCGGCTTCTTACCCGCGCGTCTCGTCTCCACCCCCCTCTCTTTCTCTACGATCGCTCTCTCTCTCTCTCTCGCGCGCTCTCTCTTTTTTTTGTTCTCTCTCTCCTCTGTTCTCTTTCTCTCTCTCTCTCTTCTCTTTCCCTCTCTCTCTCTCTCTCTCTCTCTCTTTCTCTTTCTCTCTCTCTCTTCTCTCTCTCTCTCTCTCTCTGTCTCTCTCTCTCTCTATCTCTCTCTCTCTCTCTCTCTCTCTCTCTCTTTCTCTCTCTCTCTCTCTTCCTCCCCCTCTCTCTTTCTCATTCTTTTTCCCCTTCTGCCTGTGGCTTTACGTATTCTAACACGGCGCTCGTTAGTTGTGTGGTAATGCGTCAACGGAAAATAGAGAGGCAATGGCTTTGCTGTCATCACCCGATCGGGTTGTGTTGTAAAAATAATAGGGCAGCAACATTACGTCACTGTTTGCAATATTACGTCATTAATTGCAACATTACCACAGTGATTGCAACATTACATCAGTGATTGCAACATTACCTCAGTGATTGCAACATTACATCAGTGATTGCAACATTACCTCAGTGATTGCAACATTACATCATGATTGCCAACATTACCTCAGTATTGCAACATTACCTCAGTGATTGCAACATTACATCAGTGATTGCAACATTACCTCAGTGATTGCAACATTACCTCTGTGATTGAAACATTACCTCAGTGATTGCAACATTACCTCTGTGATTGAAACATTACGTTCACGGTATAGTCACTCATAGCCGTAATACGTCACTGATAGCAACATTACACCACTAATTGCCACGATACGTCACGGATAGTGCATTTCGTCACTGGTCGCCGCATGAGTCACCAGGTAGCAGCAATAACGTCACTGATAGCTGCATTACGTGAACGCGTTTGCTCTCGGCAGAAAGGCATGACGATGCAGCCACAACGCAGACGAGAACCTGAACAGCTTCTGTAAGTGGCAGAAGACGATCAATCCACCAGACGAGCGCCATCCGAACCACCACGACGTCGCCATCTTGCCACAATACGTGCTAGCAATACAGAAGTACAGCTCAGCCGACGGCAGCGCTCATGGAGTGTTGTTGTTGTTATTGTTATTGTTATTGCTATTGCGTCGTCGTCGTAGTCGTTGTCGTCGTTGTGGTTATCGTCGTTGTCGCTGTTTACAGCGCGTGTTGTCTGTGTAGGTACAACATCTGCGCGCGCTCCGAGACAAGCAACACGCTGGGACTGGCTTACATCTCATTACATCTCAATGTTGTTGTTGTTGTTGTTGTGTTGTTGTTGTGTGTCGTCGTCGTCGTCGTCGTCGTCGTCGTTGTCGTCGTTACAGCGTGTGTTGTCTGTGTAGGTACAACATCTGCGCGCGCCTCCGAGACATGCAACACGCTGGGACTGGCTTACATCTCAATGTTGTTGTTGTTGTTGTTGTCGTCGTCGTCGTCGTCGTCGGTCGTCGTCGCTCGTCGTCCGTCGTCGTCGTTGTCGTTGTTGTTGTTATCGTCGTCGTCGTCGTTTACAGCGTGTGTTGTCTGTGTTGGTACAACATCTGCGCGCGCTCCGAGACATGCAACACGCTGGGACTGGCTCCCATCTCATTACATCTCAATGTTGTTGTTGTTATTATTGTTGTTGTTGTTGTTGTTGTTGCTATCGTCGTCGTTGTCGTTGTTGTTGTTATCGTCGTCGTCGTCGTTTACAGCGTGTGTTGTCTGTGTAGGTACAACATCTGCGCGCGCTCCGAGACAAGCAACACGCTGGGACTGGCTCACATCTCAATGTTGTTGTTGTTGTTGTTGTTGTTGTTGTTGTTCGTTGTTGTTGTTATTGTTATTGTTTATCGTCGTTGTCGTCGTTTACAGCGCGTGTTGTCTGTGTAGGTACAACATCTGCGCGCGCTTCCGAGACATGCAACACGCTGGGACTGGCTCACATCTCGGGCATGTGTTCTGCTCACCGCAGCTGCAGTGTCAACGAAGACACCGCGACTAGCTGTCTCACTCACCATCGCCCACGAGATCGGGCACAAGTAAGTCTACCTAAGATAGCTGTCACATATTAACAAGCAGTATATAAGTCTAACTAGTAATAGCGGTTAATAGTAAAAGGCAGTATATAAGTCGCCTAGTAATACCTATCAATAGTAACAGGCAGTAAATAAATCTATCTGGAAATAGCTATTAGTGATAGGTGATATATAAGTACAGTTACAAATAATTGCCAGCATTAATAGGTTGTGTAAAAGTGCAGCTACAAATAAATCTCAACAGTAACTGGTTGTATATAAGAACAGCTACAAATAGCTGTGAACAGTAACAGGTAGTAAAAAGTAAACCGCTAAAAAATCTCATTGGTTTGGTAGGTGCGTAGCTAATGAAATAACATCGCCAACAAACATCCAGTACTTCTATCAAAAAAACTGAATTCTTATTGAAGTTTTGTTACGTACAACGACACGATTCAGATACGCAACTCTATGCTCGTTACTAAGAACGACTAAGAAACATCCAAAGAGAATGATTATATCGTTGAGATGATCTGGACCGATGATGCTCTCACCCCCCCCCCGTGTGTGTGTGTGTGTGTGTGTGTGTGTGTGTGTGTGTGTGTGTGTGTGTGTGCGTGAGTGTGTGTGCGTGTGCGTGCGTGTGCGCGTGCGTGCGTGCGTGCGTGCGTTGGTGCAGGCATTATGGAGCGTATTCTCACCAACAGGTGGTTTAAGATTTCTTGGTAAAATGTCAAGTATACAATTCGTTACTTAAACAAACTTGATCATCATGACCGCCACCATCGCCATTACTACCATCACCATCGTCACCATCGACTTATCATCTTCATCACCATCGTCATCAACACTATTACTAAACCTCAGCCGTCATAATCATCTTTGTAGTTGTCGTCCTCGCCGTCACCTTTGCGCTAACGGTCTTTTTCCTGTCGTTGAGAAAGCCATGACTGGGGAAGCTGCCTGGATGACGAACCCTCGGACCACGACTTTGAGTTTCCGGTCATACCGCCGGGCGCGATGTACGACATTCGACACCAGTGTCGTCTGCTCTACGGAACCAAGGATAGGGAAACTTCCGACATAGACGTCTGCATGAAGATAGAGGTAAGGATGATCGTGGATGTATGAAGTGAATACCAAGAAATCGTGGATGTATGAAGTAAATACCAAGAAATCTACGCGATGTGAATCATATATCTAACGATATCTACTTCCAGCACTACCAGTTCAATGTATAAACACTGAAAAATAAGTTACGAGCAAGAGAATCCATCGATGTGAATCACGTATCTACTTCTAGATGCTTCGATCGCTATCTGAGGAAGCCAAGTACAGAGTAGAAAGGGTTAGGATGTGTAAGACGAGATTATATCTGGTTTATTTATCTCTTCAGCGTGAGAGTTATAAAGACTCGTACTGCAGTCCCGTATCGCGTTAGCTGTCTTAGCCGTCACCATCACAACCTGTTTGAATATTTCGGCCCGATGATCGCTCCTAGATGCATCTATAACTAGAAACCACGTATAGTTTAGTGAGGAGTAGACAGCGAGATCGCAAGCAGCGTGGTCACGGCGACAGCAACATGCAGCGATGTTGCAACTTATAAGTTCCCATGTGCATGTGAAACGCAACGCTAGCGCGCAGGCGGGAAGTGCTTGTTGATCTTGCATCGGTTTTCTGATTTGCATCTCGAGAATGTAAGATCTTATCGCGCTCTCGAACAAAGCTGTGGTCGCGAGGCTGTGCGGTGTTTCCGCATGGCCACGGTCCACTGCCTTCCCGCATCACCGCGCGACAGCTAGCACAGTGAACACCGCCGATGAAACCTCTGCAAGGATTTCAGCTGATGCGAAGTCCGAATTTCTACTGTAGGAAAATCGCAAGAACGTGGTGCGGTATAACGCTGTCTGCGCGCGCGAGTAACAGCGAAGGCGTTGTAACTAACCCCTTATCGCTGCTCCCGAGTCGTAGTTTAACTAGTCGCCGTGATTTCCGTCAACGCTGTAATCGCTTCTTTCTGTTTTCATTCGCAGCAAGACGTCTGCGAGTCGCTGTGGTGCAGCGTTAACGACAAGTGCATGACTAAGCTGAGCACGGCGGCGGCAGAGGGTACTCAGTGCGGCGACAATATGGTACGTTCACTTGTCACCCGCCATCTTGTTCTGATACTGTTCTCTACTGTTTATCTGTCATTGTTTGCTACCATTGTTCTTTGCCGACGTCCTTCAGTACTGTTCGTCCAACGTTGTTCTTTACCTTGGTTCTCTTCCGTTTCTATGTTACTGTTGCTCACCATTTTTGTACTCCATTGATGTCGGCGCCATTTTTAATGTGAAATTTCTTTTCGCTCATTGTTTTTTCGCTGCGTTGTTAACCATTGCTTTCCACCATCGCTCCCTACTATCGCTGATAGGGGCGGCTAGTGGCTACATAATGTATATCACGATGAAGATACGATCAGAATACTGTTTACATGCCGGTAAAACAGTGGCTAATTAAAAACTAGTGTGGGCGGGCCGTAAAAATATTTAGCGAGCGTGTTTAATAGCTTTCGTCGACGAGAACAGAAAAGTGTTCTCGCTGTTTCTCAGCTGCCTAATTATGGCGCACGCATCACCGGCACAGCTGTTACGAACATCCGCGTGCGTCTGTAGGTTTGCCACCTCATACCGCGCGCACGCACGCACACGCACAAGCGCACGCGCACACACTCACCCCTACACACGCACACACACACGCACGCACACACATGCACGCACACACACCCGCATCCACAGACAGACACAAACACACACGGGCGCGCGCACACACGCACACAAACACGTACACGCACACAGACACACACGCACACGCACGCACGCACGCACACACACGCACATTTCCGATGCTCTCGTTGTTTGCGTTATTTCCATATAATCATATCATCGAGCGGACACAAACCATTTTTACGTGCTCATTAATATACGAAACCCATATCATGAACAATTTTTGTGCTCTTCCAAATCAGAAACCCGTATCATAAACCTTCTTTGTGCCTTTTTTATATCAGAAACCCGCATCATAAACTATCTTTCTGCTCTTTTGAACCAGAAAACTATATCATAAACCTTTTGTGTTATTTAATATCAGAAACCCGTATCATAAACCATTTTGTGTTATTTAATATCAGAAGCCCATATCATAACTATTTTTGTACTCTTTTATATCAAAAACCCATGTCATAAACCTTTTCTGTGCTATATATGATAATATCAGAAACTCGTATCATAAACGATTTATTTGATTTCATATAATCACTCAGGACGTAATCTCGTCTGTGTGGAATGATGTTTCAGTGGTGCTTTGCCGGCAAGTGCGTGGAGATAGGGGAGCGCCCGCAAGCGGTCAACGGCGACTGGGCGGAGTGGAGCGAGTGGTCAGCATGCACGCGTACGTGCGGCGGCGGGTTGTCTGCCGCCAACCGCCACTGTGCCAACCCCCCGTAAGTACTGACCCTAGCTGTGGGGGCGGTCCCAGTCATGTTACCAACCCCCCGTATGTACTGACCCTAGCTGTGGGGGCGGTCCCAGTCATGTTACCAACCCCCCGTATGTACTGACCCTAGCTGTGGGGGCGGTCCCAGTCATGTTACCAGCCCCCCGTATGTACTGACCCTAGCTGTGGGGGCGGTCCCACGCACTGCACCAACCCCCCGTACTGACCCTAGCTGCGCCCCAACCCACAAGTAGCGACGTTTCACGTGCTACACATGCGCATACCTGCCACAGTTATATTTGTCAATTGTTATTGTTGTTTATATATGTCAAGATAGATCTTTACATTCATATCAGATAAATATCATTGCTATCGCGGCAATTGCTGCGTGTTCGAGAGCGAGAGAGAGAATAGTTTTCTAGTTCTGCCAATCACAAAAGCCACTAGTGATGTGATGGCACTTGCCGGGGAAGCTACTCTCGACTCGCTAAGTGAGTTTTTCGTTTATCTTCAAAAGTACCCGCCCGTATTTTTTACGCTGCGTTTAACATTGCCGGCGTGGCAATCATTTGCTTTGAAACTTGATTATGTAAGACACGGCAGGGTGTCCCGGATGTGCAGCAAAGACCCGGATGTACGGCAGACGAACGCGGCGCAAGTCATGCGTAATCAACTTAAAATGATTTACGGTCCGCTTAGCACTGAACGGAGAGGGAAGAATGGGGAAGGGGGTGAAAATTACCATGTTTAAATTCCCAATAGAGCATCACAACTCACCCTGATACGCCCTTGGTGGCGGTGCTGCTGCTGGGGCGTTTGTATTATGTTAGAGAAAGCATTGGTATAGCCGCGTAGATATTATTAACGGCGGCCCTCCTTCGCTTGACTAGGAGGGTCTCCTAAGCTTTATGCTGGTATTACTGTGTAGTGGCAGAGAAGCGCCCATGAAAAAACGCACAGTAAAATCCGCGAAATGTCTTCTGTCCAGGGGAAGCTAGCTAGCAAGGGAGACGAGACTCAAGTACAGGGAATGCGTACGTGAACCAAACGCCACGCGTGTCCGCGTGGGTGCGTGTATGCGCGCGGGTGCGGCGTGCGTGCGCGTGTATGAGCACGGGTGTGTGTGAGCGCGGGAGTGTGTGAGCGCGGGTGTGTGCGCGTGCGTGCGTTAGGATGCGTGTGTCTGTTTTCGGGTGCTTGCGTGCCTTCGTGCTCGAGTGAGCGTAAAGAAAATATTTTCTTTTTACAGGCCGTCATTCGGTGGCAAATACTGCATAGGCGAGCGAAAGAGATACAGGATCTGCAATACTGAAGTATGTATTCCCAGCCTCCGCTCAATCTGCTCTCACGTTGTTAACTTTAAATGTTTCGAGTGAGCGCGACCACTTATACTGCTTAGTGGCCCGGATCACCGGCAAAACTTCGCAGAAAACTGCTGCACAAGCAATATACAGCCAGGGAAGTAAAATAACAAGGCACCTCTTTATACTATTCCATATTATCTTACACCTGATACAGTAGGAGCAACAGCGTCTCAAGCTTGTTAATAGGAGACTCTAGAATATATATATATATATATATATATATATATAATATTAATATTAATATAGATAATTCGTTGGAGAAAATTTGCATGAAAAGATAAGCTACAGCGTGCTTTATAAATCCGTCACTGTGCATAGAGGCCTCTTGTGTTTGTGTAAATTATACACCATTTATCTGAGACAGCTGACGAAGTCAAATAACGAGAGGGAGTTGAACCAAAACATTTTTTATGCTTGCAAAAAAATATAGCGAATTGAACGAAATTTTCGGAAGGTTAGTACATAGCATGTCGATGCGGTTGTACATTCAGATTTTGGTATAATTCTCTTTGGTTTGTAATCAAACCATACACTATGGTGACGATGGCTACCCTATGCCTCACCTATAGCTTCCCCCGCAACCTCTGTTTTTTCAACACGTGTGATTGCCTTTCTCTCTCCCCTTGCTAGTCATGCGACGTGGATGACCCATCCTTCCATCAGGTGCAGTGCAGCGCCTATGACAGCATTCAGCACAAGGGAGTCTACCAGCAGTGGCAGGCCGTGGAGATGTCTGTCAATCCAGAAGGTGAGATAGATACCGCGCGCCAGCGCCATCTAGCGACACCGCTGACACATAGAGACAGTGCTGATACCTAAGTTTGACACTGCCGAATTACTCTGATTTGTCATACAAATAAGACCGACACACCCACACGCACACACGCACGCACACATATATAGAAATATATACATATATAGTATTTATATACAAGAGCTAATAATACCTTTAATAATAGGTATTATTAGCTCCTGATATATATATATATATATATATATATATATATGCCATAGTCACCGACCTGCTTGGTATCGCTTTCTCATCTCGCTCTACCTGCGTTACGCTTCACGTGTATGTTTTACAGACGTCGATGCTAACAGCAAGGCGTGTGCGCTGCGGTGTAAGGGGCGTGGCAACTCTCCCACCGTCACCCTTAACGACACGATGATTGACGGCACGCCATGCCGCCTCGGCAAGCGAGACATTTGCATCGACGGCAAATGCAGAGTGAGTCTTCTGTGTGTGTGTGTGTGTGTGTGTGTGTGTGTGTGTGTGTGTGTGTGTGTGTGTGTGTGTGTGTGTGTGTCGTCGTCTCTCTTCTTACTTCTCGTTCTTCTTCTCTCTCTCTCTCTACTACTCTCGTCTCCTCCTACCTACCACTACTCTACGTCTCGTCGT